ATCTAAAGTGATCACTCTCCTTACAATGTGTATGATAATCAAGGTGGGCCACTTCCAGCACAAATCCAGGTTTTCTCACCCTCCCACCCCACACACACAAACTCACTCTCCTGCTGGCAATAGCTTATCCAAAGTGACCACTCTCCTTACATTGTGCATGATAATCAAGGTGGGCCATCCCCAGCAGAAATCCAGGGTTTAACAAGAACGTTTTGGGGGGGGTGGTGTAGGAAAAAAACAAGGGGAAATAGGCTACCTTGCATAATGACTAAGCCACTCCCAGTCTCTATTCAAGCCTAAGTTAATTGTATCCAATTTGCAAATGAATTCCAATTCAGCAGTTTCTCACTGGAGTCTGGATTTGAAGTTTTTTTGTTGTAAAATAGCGACTTTCATGTCTAATCATGTGACCAGAGAGATTGACCTGTTCTATGACTGGTTTATGAATGTTATAATTCTTGACATCTGATTTGTGTCCATTTACTCTTTTACGTAGAGACTGTCCAGTTTGACCAATGTACATGGCAGAGGGGCATTGCTGGCACATGATGACATATATCACATTGGTGGATGTGCAGGTGAACGAGCCTCTGATAGTGTGGCTGATGTTGTTAGGCCCTGTGATGGTGTCCCCTGAATAGATAGGTGGGCACAGTTGGCAACGGGCTTTGTTGCAAGGATAGGTTCCTGGGTTAGTGGTTCTGTTGTGTAGTATGTGGTTGCTGGTGAGTATTTGCTTCAGATTGGGGGCTGTCTGTAGGCAAGGACTGGCCTGTCTCCCAAGATTTGTGAGAGTGTTGGGTCATCCTTCAGATAGGTTGTAGAGCCTTAATAATGCATTGGAGGGGTTTTAGTTGGGGGCTGAAGGTGACGGCTAGTGGCGTTCTGTTATTTTCTTTGTTAGGCCTGTCCTGTAGTAGGTGACTTCTGGGAACTCTTCTGGCTCTATCAATCTGTTTCTTCTCTTCCGCAGGTGGGTATTGTAGTTGTAAGAATGCGTGATAGAGATCTTGTAGGTGTCTGTCTCTGTCTGAGAGGTTGGAGCAAATGCGGTTGTATCGCAGAGCTTGGCTGTAGACGATGGATCGTGTGGTGTGGTCAGGGTGAAAGCTGGAGGCATGTAGGTAGGAATAGCGGTCAGTAGGTTTCCAGTATAGGGTGGTGTTTATGTGACCATCGTTTATTAGCACTGTAGTGTCCAGGAAGTGGATCTCTTGTGTGGACTGGACCAGGCTGAGGTTGATGGTGGGATGGAAATTGTTGAAATCATGGTGGAATTCCTCAAGGGCTTCTTTTCCATGGGTCCAGATGATGAAGATGTCATCAATATAGCGCAAGTAGAGTAGGGGCGTTAGGGGACGAGAGCTGAGGAAGCGTTGTTCTAAATCAGCCATAAAAATGTTGGCATACTGTGGGGCCATGCGAGTACCCATAGCAGTGCCACTGATCTGAAGGTATACATTGTCCCCAACTGTAAAATAGTTATGGGAAAGGACAAAGTCACAAAGTTCAGCCACCAGGTTAGCCGTGACATTATCGGGGATAGTGTTCTTGATGGCTTGTAGTCCATCTTTGTGTGGAATGTTGGTGTAGAGGGCTTCTACATCCATAGTGGCCAGGATGGTGTTATCAGGAAGATCACCGATGGATTGTAGTTTCCTCAGGAAGTCAGTGGTGTCTCGAAGGTAACTGGGAGTGCTGGTAGTGTAGGGCCTGAGGAGGGAGTCTACATAGCCAGACAATCCTGCTGTCAGGGTGCCAACTGTGCCCACATATCTATTCAGGGAACACCATCACAGGGCCTAATAACATCAGCCACACTATCAGAGGCTCATTCACCTGCACATCCACCAATGTGATATATGCCATCATGTGCCAGTAATGCCCCTCTGCCATGTACATTGGTCAAACTGAACAGTCTCTACGTAAAAGAGTAAATGGACACAAATCAGATGTCAAGAATTATAACATTCATAAACCAGTCGGAGAACAGGTCAATTTCTCTGGTCACACGATTACAGACATGAAAGTCGCTATTTTACAACAAAAAAACTTCAAATCCAGACTCCAGTGAGAAACTGCTGAATGGGAATTCATTTGCAAATTGGATACAATTAACTTAGGCTTGAATAGAGACTGGGAGTGGCTTAGTCATTATGCAAGTTGCCTATTTCCTCTTGTTTTTTCCTACACCCCCTCCGCCCCTCAAAGTTCTTGTTAAACCCTGGATTTCTGCTGGGGATGGCCCACCTTGATTATCATGCACAATGTAAGGAGAGTGGTCACTTTGGATAAGCTATTGCCAGCAGGAGAGTGAGTTGTGTGTGTGGGGGGGGGGGGGGAGAAAACCTGGATTTGTGCTGGAAATAGCCCAACTTGATTATCATACACATTGTAAGGAGAGTGATCACTTTAGATAAGCTATTACCAGCAGGAGAGTGGGGTGGGAGGAGGTATTTTTTCATGCTTTATGTGTATAAAAAGATCTTCTACACTTTCCACAGTATGCATCCGATGAAGTGAGCTGTAGCTCACGAAAGCTTATGCTCAAATAAATTGGTTAGTCTCTAAGGTGCCACAAGTCCTCCTTTTCTTTTTACAAATGTTAGTCTTTGCCTATATTAAGTTTTGAAACCTTCTATAATCAGCTTGGTTCGTTTGTTTGTTCTTTAGGGCTAACCCAGGCTAAGGAGCTGGGGACCTCTTGCTTATGGGGAGGTTAGGTCGGTATAAGAACGTCTCTCAGGGGTGTGGATATTTCCCACACCCCCTGAGCAACTTTGTTATACTGGTACTGTTGTGTAGACCTGGTCCTTGCCTCCCCAGAGCTGCAGCAGCATAGAGATAGCTAGTAGTTCCCTTTGCTTGGGGTTTTTATCCCCTTCTTGCTACATGGTTTGAGCTGCAAACTCTGCTGATAGGAGGAGTCCACTTGCATGACTGATCTTCACTGGGAGGAGAGCGGAACAACAAGTCTTTTGTCCTCTTGTTGACAATTCCTCAGTTGTTGTAAGATCCACCCGCAGCCTCTCTGGTACTGATGGGCAGCCTCTTTCAACAGGGTCATAACAATTTCTGTAGAAGAGCAGCTCTTCACATTAATGTCACTCTCAAGTACTGTACAGCAATTCATACAGTATCAGAGGCTCACAATACAACTGCTCCAATATTACATTACAGTATGGAACACCACTATTCAAAGTAAGATTAACGCATGCAGCAACTCACATGCATCCAGTTGTCTAAACGCTTTATTATAAATCTAATGCCTATTTGATCAGTATTGACCCACAAGTGAGCCAAATGGATTCCAGCTGTGTCCAGTTGAGAGATGGAGACCTTGCTGTGACCTGGCAAATGGCCCGCAGCTTCAGTCGTTTCAGCGCCTCTGGAAAATCAAGCCTTGAGCCTCTTTCTAAATGTGTCAGAGAAATATGTGCAGTGGGTACCCTGGGCTGGAGCTACCTTTTAGAGATGGGCACATGGGATGTGTACCTAGCTTGGGACTAGAGCTGTTTGGAATCTTTGCATTTTGAAAAAAGTTGTGCAATTTTCCTCTTTCTTGCCCTACTTTTGACAATGTAGATTTGAATGTTTGGCTTTGCCATTGCTGGGTTTCCATTCTCCTTTGGCTGAATTCCATTAGGTTTTACGGGTGGGGGGAAAGATCAGATAGAAAAATGGTATATTAAAAGAAAAAAGGAGCAGCATGGACAGACATGCAGGCAGGAGAGGGAGTGTGTGTGTGCGTGTAAATGGTTCTTGTACCCTAATGAATAAGGCAGACTGTCCTGTAGTTAGAAATCAAATTCTTCTGGAAGATGGCAGGGGAACAAAAGAACAAGGGGGAGAAATCTCCTTGAACTCAAGCTAGTCTTGCCCAACCTCTGACCACACAAGTTAACCCAAATGGCCTCAGAGTTAGAAGGGATCTCAGTTAGAGCCTAGCTGGGCAGCGGAAGTCCAGCTCTGGAGCTCAGGGAGCGGGGGTGGGGATCTCCTCCTGCTCCATACATCTGGAGCTAGACCTGTGGAGGCATTATTTCTTGTTATCTTTGCAGTTGAGACTGGAGCAGGAATTCTGTAGCACGGAGAAGTGACATTTACTTCTTAGTTCTTCCCAGTCTTCCTCCGCAATTACTGTACTGTACTCCTCTCATGCTGTGCTTTAGCCCCAGGCTCATTTCAGATGGGACTTGGCGTCTGACATGAAGGTTGAGAAATTGGAGGCTTGAGGTTTTGAAAGCGCTCTCCTGTCTGTGTAATGCTGGTATCTAGCACTACAGAAGTTGTTCAGAAGGGAAGTTGCCTCATATAATCAAGTACAGTACATGGAGCCAGACAAATGTGATACACCGCCTCGGGCCTGAGCCAAAGCCCACTGAAATCAATGGAAAGGATCCTATTGACTTAAATAGGCTTTGGGTCCAGCTCCTGCTGCTGGAATGAATGTGGACCAGTGGACAGAACACTGGGCTGGGAATCGGAAGACTTGGCTCCTGTTCCCAGCTCTGCCATTGACCCTGGGCAAGTCTCTCTGCCTCCATTTTTTCCCCCTCCCACCCTCAGTCTGTTTAGTCTGTAAGTCGCTGCCCTGAAGAGCTACCTCATGCTCTGCTTGTACAGCACCTGGTGCAGTGGGGCCTCTGTTTTAAGTTGGGGCTTCCATGTGCCACCACAATACAAACAATGATAAAGGAGTGGACCTGATTTGCCTTCTGTTTTTGAAGGATTTCATCCATGTCTTAGTATAAACTTCCCGAAAGTGTTTGTAATTCTTCTTACTGTTCTACTGACTTGCTCTGCCATGCACTAGCTTCTCATTAAACCAAAACCGACGTGCACTAATGAGTACATCTATATTTGCACAGTATTTTTAGAGCTCCCGTTGGGCTATTACAATTATAGCTGGCGTTGTAAAGGTATGGGACACCAGATTTTCAGTGGGTTTGAAACACTTCTTTCCCTTCTCAAAGGCTTCTTCCCCTCCCCACCTCTAGGTCTCCAAGACACTCCTATGAGGAAGAGGACAGTGGTCTGAGGGAAGCTGAAGTCAAGCTGGAGCAGGTCCAGCTGAATCAGGAGGGCCCGGAGGAGATTCCCGGGGAGAATGAGGAGATGAAGCAGGAGCCGCTGGAGACAGAGGAGCCTCAGCAACTTTTTGAGGCAGAATGCATTCAAGAGCAGCAGGAGGAAGAGGAGGAGGAGAAAGCTGGGCAGGAGGTCAGAGCAGAAATATTGGATCTGTGATCTCTCTTGGTATGGCTGTGACTTCATGGGGGACCATCCGTGTGGGGTAGATGCATCGCAGCAATGTGTAAAACAGGGCTTGTACTTGTGATACTTACCTATCCCAGTAGCTTAAAGGGTCACACTCGTGTGCGCTCTGCCTTACGATGGTGCAGCACGTCTACCCCGGCAGTTTGCATTGGTATAGCTGCAGCTGTGCAAGCACCCCCAGTTACACATAGCTTAAGTGTGCAGACGCCACTTTCATGTTTACTGGCTCCTTTCTTCTCTCCTCCCTTCTTCTTCCCCCCTCCCAAAAATCAGTCACTGCACACAATGGAGAACTTAGTGCTGCTCTGACAAGTAGCACCACAAGGCCTGTAATTCTGTGTTCTAATTCTCTGCTGTGGTATATGTGTTCTGCCTTCTCTCATCATCATTCATTACGGAGAGTGTCACAGGTTCTCCAGTCCTATAAAGCCACAGATATAGGACTCTTAAGGAAATTCTGAACCCGTGTGTTCAGAACCGTGCCCCCCCCCCTTTTTTTTTTGTTCCATGCTCTGAGAAGCCTTGGCCTGATCTACTAATCTGAAATTGGGGTCCAGCATTGCTGCCTTCCATCCCCTAGGGGTGTCTATGCTGTATCTAGTTCAAGGCGTGGTGTGGCCCTGGTAAACAAGGGAGACAAAGCTGGAACTCAAGCTGTATGGAAGCCTGTCTGTGTCACTCTGAGTTGTAATAAACATTTAAGATGGACTGTGATTGCATATATCATGACATCCCTCTTATTAGGGGGTGGTATGGCTTCATAGCTCCTCAAAATAAATTTAGTTAGTTTCCCTGTCCCCTGCCTGAGAGTGAGGATATATATTCCTTTCTGATGGGGGCTGGGCAAAATTGGTGGGAAATGTCTTTGTGAAAACTCATGCAGAATGCCTCACCAGTTCATTTTGTGACCTTGCACCTGTACAAATGTTGTATTTTTAAATGACGACTGGGAGAATGAATTTTTTACATGTGAAAGAAAGCTCAGTATCTTTGCCCAAAGTTTAATTTGTGGGGGTGGATCTGACACTTGTTACAGTGGAAGTTTATTAATCGGCTTTGCTCCTGATCTGCTCATTCTTTGCATTTAGGAGAAAAAGAGGAGGAGGAATGAGGAGGAGGAGACACCAGAAAAACGCCAGAAAGCTCCGAGCACCTCCAGCATGGAAGGGGAAGAGGATGAACAATGTGATGGCCAGTCCCCAGCGAGTTCCACAACGGTACATGCTACTAAGAGTGCTCTGAATCGCAAGTGCACTTAGAGCTGGCCTAAACCTTAGTGAGAGGAGACCTGACTGGTGTGGCTATGTAGGGGGGAGGAAAGATGGTCTAATATTGAAGACCTCAGGAGATCTGGATTCACATGCGAGTTCAACAGACTTCCAGTGTGACCTTGGGAAAGTCACTTACTCTCTCTCCCTCATTTGTAAAATGGGCATAATCCTTTCTCCATCTGTTGTCTGGCTTGTCTACTTACACAGTCAGCTCTTTGGAGCAGGGATTGCCTCTCCTTATGGGGATGTACAGCACCTAACACAATGGTGCCCTAGTCTCAACTGGGGCCTCTAAGAACTTTTATAATACAAAGTGGTAGTAACCTTGGCCATCTTCAACATTCATGAATTTAATCAAACGGATAGTCTGTCTTGTTTCCTAGCATGTAATACTGGGTCTGCTTTATACACTTCCCCCTCAATGTCCTGTGGATACGCAGCCCTGTGTATCCAGATATGGTAGGTGTATGGGGAAAATGGCTCTTCTCCTGTCAGAGTTGATTTTGTTGGCCACGGATTAGGATGGAGAGTGAGGAGTCCAGTGCATGCAGATTTCATTCATCTTTGGGGTGATGGCGGAGCGTTCGGGTGGCCTCTTAAGCACCTGTTAGCATTGTGCTCCCTTTGACTCTTAAACCCGATGCTGCCTGCATGTGACTCAAGGTTGCCTGGTGAGGGAGAGTTATATCACTTTCAAAAGGTGTTGACAAGAAACATGTAGCAAGGGGAGTGTTTCGTTTGTAACGGTCGGAGGAGCTGCTCAGACAGGGAGCAGAGCTTTGTTACATTACAGGAAACATTAAGAATAAAAATCAAACTTCTGGGGAGCAATAGAACTACCTGGATTCTGGCCCCAGTCTGTTTGCATTGTGACGAGTGATGGGAATGTGTGTGACTATCAAGCCAGGAAGAAAAATCCCTCACTGCACTGAGCAGAGTGGGTGGCAAAAGAGAAACAATCTAGTTTTGGAGCTTAACCATGGGCTTCAGTGAGAGCAGAGTAGGGCTGGTGCTTCTGAAAAATCCCACCCTACCTTTGATACTAGGGACAGAAGCTCTCTTGCAGAGTAACCCCCAAATACCTATACCTTCCTAGGGAACTGTTGCTATGACCAATCCCATACACAGCAGGGAAGGGGTTAAATATCCAGCAGGGAAGGGCTTAAATACTGCCTCCGAAGGGGCCTTTATGGCGTTGGTGGGGAAGCTTCCCCACCAATCAGGCTGTACACGCGTTCATTCAGGGGAGAGAGGTGCTCACAATCTTTGCAAAGCAGAAAGGACTTACGCACAAGCAGTGGAAGGAATTTTGTTTAAACTATAAAATATATATTTAAAACCCTGGATCATCCATAAGAAACCAAGAATGGAATCGTTCCAGGCTGGGACTGGTTTGGAAAGGCATGAGCCTGTGGGGAGAAACATAGGATTAGGACAGGTTTCAGAGTAGCAGCTGTGTTAGTCTGTATCGGCAAAAAGAAAAGGAGGACTTGTGGCACCTGAGAGACTAACAAATTTATTAGAGCACAAGCTTTAGGACATACTCTTATTTTAACCACAGTAGTGTCTACTGGTGTGAGACGGGGAAGCTTGCTCCTTTAGCTCAGGCAGTTGAAGCTCGTGTCTCTTAGATCCAGAGTTCCTGGGTGGGTGGGTGAGGTCTCAACGTAACAAGTAGCAGTCTGATACTCCAAAGGCCTCTTTAACCAGGAAAGGGGGATTTAAAAAATGAAAGCAATGGAGGAATGAAGGGGTTCTCAAGGCATGAAGTAACCAGCCACAGAAGAAGGGACGTTAGGTACCCGAAGTCTTGCCACAGACTTTCTTCATGGCCTGGAGCCAGGAGGTCAGCTAGATATTTATAATGTTCGCTTCTGTCCTCTAAACAAATCAAGGAGTTCAAAAAGTTCATCAGTGTGAAGGTCTGGGCTGGGGAGCAGGGCTCCAGTAAATGAGCAGTGCAGAAAGGCTGTGAATAGACTTTAGTGTGTCATGCAGAAATGAAGCAACTTCTCCGGTTTGTACTTGTAATAGCTCTCTGGACATGCGAGCAGTGTTAATGCTGGACTCTTGGTGGGGGAATGGAACAACAGAGCAATCCCTTGTTCCTGTATAGTACCTCTCCTCCAAGGATTACAAAAATTACTGTAAATACCCAACAGATGCGGGGTGTGATGTGCTATCGCTACTCTTTGGAAGCCCAGACACAGATGGTGATCTACAGCCTGCCCAAGTTGCCAATTAACTTGCTGCTTGAGCTGGGAATAGAGGGCTGATTCTCTGTTTCTGGATTCACAGTCCTGAGCTCAAACTGCAAACACTCCCCAGCCTCTGAAATGTTGCAGCTCTGACAGGCTGAGCCCTGCTGATGATAGAATAATTTTCCAGAGCAGAAAATGGATGTGATATGAACTGCTCAGCGAGAGGTGCATTTTACAGAGAATACTCCCAAACAAGTATGCTATAAACCAGCAGAACGATCATCCTAATGCATCCCCGTTTAAAGTAATAGAGCTTGAGGGCATCTACAAACAGCCTCTTCTAATGTATCTTGCATATGTCCACACAGCAATTGGACAAGTTTGTCTTGTCAGATGCTTGTGGGATATGTAAGCTCATCTGCTGCACCTTGGTGTGTGAGTGCACAGCTTGTTTTGGGCTAATTTCTTGTACAAGTCCTTCTGCAAGTAAGTTTTTCAATAGGGTTTGATTTGCCAGAAGGCTCTGCTGGTTAAATCACTCCTCTGTCTTGGAGCCTTCTTGCAGTGGAATGGCCAGTGCAAACTATGTTCTGTCACAGATGCCATTTTCTGTCCATCTTCCTCTTTTTCCTGCTTTTTTTTTTTTTTTTGCTCTTCTCTTTACCTTTCTATACCTGACCCTTCCATTCTCCTCATCACCAAGAGCCTATGTGAGTCTTACAGTGGAGAGGCCCTGCAGCTTGGCTCCAGGGTCACCCATGTGCTGGAATATGATGGGATGGGAGGAGGGAAGCTTGGTGGTCAGGTTACTGCTTACACTGGCAGCCCACATGCATGTTAGTGGCTCCTGTGGCCAGAGGAATTAGTGACCCTCAGAGAGCAGGATCAGGCTGTGACTTCAGTGGGGATGGACGAGGTACAGGTGTCATGCAGCTTTTCCTCCTGCACTCTGCCCTATATGTGACTCTTCCTTCAAGATGAGGGAATCACTGGGCTGGAGACTTTGTGGGGGAAGCTTTTTAAAATACAGATGTTTGACTCTTCACTGCTGTTCATCCTATGGTGCTCTGGAAGCTTGCTTTCCTGATAGCTCATCCACTTTGAAGCCATCTCCAGAACTTGTTGGTCCAGCACCATCAGATCTCCTGCATCTACCATCATTGCTGTTGCAGAAGAAGATGCCACCTCTTGATTGCAAAGTGGGGAGTTTTAGGGACACCCTGGGGCTGGCTGACTGGTTCAGTCATTCCAGGGTATAGGTAGGGAGGTGGGCGGAAACAAGATAGTTTTGAAACTATCCAAATCTCTCGGGGGTGGAGAGAACTCACTGATTCAAGTTATGACCAATTAAGATGAGGGACTCGGGGCAGCAGGCAAAACTGATTGTCTCTTCTTTCTCATCTCTCCCCATTTAGATCACAGACCGAACTGAATCCCTGAACCGCTCCATAAAGAAAAGGTAATTCTCATTCCACTGAATGACCTGGTGGTAATTCTCCACTGGGCTTTGACTTGGGTATTACTGTAACGCAGACCCACACCTGAACCAAAGGCACAATTTCAAGTGATTGTGGGTTGAGGGGGAACAGTGTCCTATTGCTTAGTGGGTCACTTGAACATCTTTCAGAACCAGCATTTGTGACTTTCGGGGGGGATGGGAGGAAACTAGTGGATTCTTCCCAAAAGAGGCTTGGGTAGACCTCACTCTCATGAGCTTAAAGCAATAAGACTTAATTCCTCCTTCCTTCTTTCTCTAGCAACAGCGTGAAGAAGACTCAGCCACCACTTCCTGTTTCCAAGATTGATGACAGACTGGAGCAGTACACTCATGCCATTGAGGTGATGCGCTCAATCACATAGGTGGCATGCTCTCGGTCCCCAGCCCCATATAGGCTTTATTCTGTTCTGGATAGTCCTCACCTTCTTTGGTCTTTGTAGACTCCGCCCTAGCAGCTAGCTATAATAATACTGGAAGGGATTGAATCTAATTTTCCTAAATCCCTCCATGCTCTTTAATTCGTCAGGATAAGGAATCTTGTGGCTTTTGAGCAGGAGTGCTGGAGATGTGAACAAGCCATTTTCTCCTATCTTACTATACCAGACTAGGACTGTCTCATCCCTGCATTTCTCTGTCCTGAATGGGCACAATGTTCTTCTACTTAGCCTCCATGTTCTTATTTGTTTCTGTCCTTTGACTCTGTAGTTAATGTATCCATCGGAATGATAATTTACAACCTCCTTCCCCAAGAAGCTATTCACAAAAATCTGCAAGTGCTCGGAACACTTTCACTTTGATTTGCTTTGTTTCCAGACATCCGAGAAGGTTCAGAAACTTGTCCGACAATCTTCCCTTGAACTTGCCACCACAAGCATGGTTGTAGCCAGCACAAAAAACCTCTGGGAGACTGGAGAGGTTGCAGCTCAGTCCTCTGTTAAGTCCCCATCCTGTAAGGTAAGACTGAGTTTTATATGCCCAGACAACTCTACTGCAGGAGAAGGGGTATAGCTCTTTGTTTCATGTCAGAGGGCTGCACCTGTGTCTAATAGCATGAACTTCAGAAAGAAAAGTTACCCTGCTACATGGTTGGCTGGGTTTACTCAAATTATTCAGGTGCATATCACTGTGGAGTAGGGACTTGAAAGGACAATGGTATCAGGAGTAGCAATGTCAGGTTAAAACCCCATTCTTCCCCTTTTCTATTGACATCCACGTTAAAACTTTCAGATGTTCTGTCTTTACTTCCTACAATTCACTAAAGCTTTGTCCGTACCTGGATTAGCCCCAGCTACAAGAGTGCACATACCAAGGAAACTGGTTTTGTTTATCCTGGCTTGAAATGGAGTTAAACTGAATGGCTGAAAATGGTTGTTTCCTTGTCTGCACTAAGAGCCACACCAGTTGCTTTGTATCGATGGCTCAGTGGTAAATTTGGGACAGGCAAGTGGTAAATTTGAACAATGGAAAGCAGTTACTCTCCATTTCTAGTGAATTGCATTTTCTGGTTCAAGTGCTGGCACAATGCTGCAACATCTAGGTTGCAAAGGGCTCAAGGCAAAAATGTCTCTTTGAAAACTGCTTCACTTAAAGCTTCCTAGGAAAAAAACTTTCCTATTAATACTTAATATTGTAAACCTTTTCCCTATAAAACCTACATGTTGGGCCTTAGATCCAGTGTCCTGTTAAAATACCAAATGTTGGAGGATGGTTAAGAAAAGGGAGTCTTATGCCCCTGGTATGCAGCCATATTCCTGCCCAGTGTGACTCTACCCAAACACATGGCCACATACCATAGTTATTGGGCAGGTGGATTCAGTAAGTGTGAAAGGAACAAAAACAGCTTTCAGCTGTGTTGGTGGCAGGGTGATGAGATTCATTCTTGTGTCCCCAGGATATTGTAGCTGGAGATATTGTGAATAAGCGAAGCATGTGGGAACAGAAGGGTACCCCCAAAAATGAAGGCAACATCAAGGTAAGTAGCTTCTCCTTAGGTATCTCTGTTATAGCACTTGCTTTATGGTATTGGGGCTGAGTTTGTTCAAGAGAATTCTCCCTTAGGTCACAAGGATGCCTGTATATTGGAGCATGGGTTGAGGTTGCCTACTAACGGAAGCAAACGCCTAGGCCAAAGGAGGTATCCTCCATGGCAGTAACAGGAAGGCATGTTGTCTTCTTTTCTAAATGTATCTGTTGTAAGAAACATCTCCACTAATTTAATGAAGGGCTGGGACGAAAGCCCAAGGTTCTCTTCTTCCCCTCCTGCCCCCCCCAACTCTGATATCATTTGCATTTGGATTGAAACTCTACAGGTTGGGCTAATCGTTAAGTTTTTTAAAATTGTTAAATAATAGCCTAATTTTCTGGAAGTGCAGAGTGGCTTAGATACCTGGGGTTCTGTTTCTTGGCTGCCTTCTAGTTCTGAAAGGTGTAGAGGCCTCTAAGGGTGCATGGGTATAGTGCATTAAAAGGTACTGACCCAAGATTGAGAATTGTCCTGGCTCCATAGAAGTTCAACTCTGATACGGCCTTTCCTTTTGGTATAGGGTTACCGGAGAGGTTTGACTGAGCTGAATCTTACCATTGATGTCATGATGATTTTTAAAATTGTTGTATTATCTGACAGTTCCAATAATTATCCATCTCCATTATTATTTTATTGTACGTATTTGTCTAGGCAAAAAGGTGGTAGGAACAGGCAATAGTAAGCTCTCACCCCATGTGGGAACCTGGGCCACATTAAAATATTGAAGTCCAAGAACCTCACCTGCTCCTCAGACTTCAATTTATTTGACTCCTTCTTTAAGTTTCTTAAATATTAAGAATTATTTGTGTTAGCTGAGATGGACACTTGAGGAAGGACCCTAATCCTCACTTCTTTCCTCCATTCAGACCTCCACTTCTGGCAAGAGGTACAAGTTTGTAGCAACTGGACATGGCCAGTACAAGAAGGTGTTGATAGATGATGCAACGGAGCAATAGCGTGTGTGGAGTACCAATGAACCAGGTAGGTGAGACAAAACCTCTGACTGTAGGAGAACCACCTGGTACTTCTCTGGCAGGACAGCTAGGACGATGCAGCACAATAAGTGTAAAAGTTGTTTTTTCAGCCTATACATTCTACGTTGCCAGCCAGACTTGAGTGGGTTGGAAGGTACTGTATGGACAAAAGGTGGGTTCCTACTTCCTGGCAAACAATCCTCTTTGGGGTAGAAGGAGAAGGGCATGCACAAAGAAATTCTTTCTAGCAGCTGTGCAGCGTAGGATGCCCATGTTAGCTGCAGCTAGAAAACTTACCTGGCAGATCAGACTATTTATGGAAGCTACTGACCTCAGCCCCACTCAGAGTAAAAGTGCCTTGGTTGAACTAGACATGGCTTAATAGGATCTCTTGTACTGTAAAGAGTAAGAACTGTAGGTGCGGGGGGGGGGTAGTTGAAGTTCATTCCAGATAGTCATGGAAGCGGACCAAGTCCTCTGTGTCCAATGTGTTCATGGGACCTGATCCAGTGACCATTGAGGTCAATGAAAGGATTCCTATTCACTTCAGTGGCATTTGGATCAGGCCTATGCTTGGGGGTGGGGTGGGGAGTGATCTTGTGAAAAGGTGCACTGTTTCTAGATAAAGTGGCACAGAAGGAACGGTCTAGTCACGTTAAGCAGGGAGGGGAAGAGCGTAGATGTTATCTGTGCCCACTTGAAACCCAGAGACTGTTCCTCACCCTCTGAGGACCCTGGTGCTTGTATTAATAGATATCCCTGTGCTATTTTAAGTGGCCAGTAGTAGATGACTTAAGGGCAAAGAAGAGCTCGTTCCAAGTGGTGTGATAATGGCAAAGCACCCTGAGTGACGCTCTGCGCAGGAAAAACCAGAGTTTGACGTCTCATAAAATCTTTATTGATTTTCCAAGCTTTATGTAGTACTCAGTCTTTACAAAAGCACCTCGTCCATCCCTCCCTAATTACCACATGCGTTCCCATCCCATGGGATTGTGTATACAGACGTGGAGGCCTATAGATCACTTTGTGACCATACCCACCTCTCTGCTCCTCATTTCTAAAACCTGCTTCAACTCTCTGCTTTCATCATATATCTTGTCCTCTAAATCTACATAGATTCCCCTTGCTGTACTCTCCTTTCATGTGCCAAGCCTGACCTTGCTGAGCTTGACTCTCCTAGGTGCGGTTAAACCTCATTATCTGAGTTCCTGCTGCTCACTTCCAAAGGGGTTTTCCTCCCCATCCAGGGAAATAAACCACTTCATTAGTTTGAGCCTGTCTAGGAGATTTAGACTCCTGTCTCTGAATCACTCAGTCCCTCCTCAAAAGGCAAACCGGCAATGACTAGACCTCCCCTAGGACAGCCATAGCTAATACTCTAAATGGTGAGGGCTGTGCCACAGTACTGCAGTTCAGAGTCTTTCTCTGGCTCCAAATGTTGGTACTTAAAGACAAAAAGGTTGAAATGGCTTTGGGTGCTGGGCTTCACCTCTGCTTTCGCTTGCTTCTGTGATTGTTTCATGTCTTGAGTGTGTCTTCTCTCCCTACCTATCTTGTTTAGCACTGCTCTCCCCCTTCCTCATCACGCAGTCCCCCTTCACACTCTGCTTTTCTGCTCATGGGGAGCCCCCATGATGCCACTTTTTAAGCCACTGGAAGGCTCACTATGAAGTGTCGCAGGGCAGGGTGTTGCGCGTTCTCCCCCGCACCCTCCACTTCCTCTTGGCAGCCTCATGAAACAGGTTGTCTCCAAGTGATGGCTTGTAAAGTTACTGATTGGCTGCCACCACATAATACCTTAGTAACTTCAACCACATATTGAAGGGGTTTAGTTATTGTCGTCCCCTTTCTCTTTCCACAACATGTCATAAGAACATAGGAACATAAGAATGCCCATGCTGGGTCAGACCAAAGGTCCATCTAGCCCAGTATCCTGTCTTCTGACAGTGGCAAATGCCAGGTGCCCCCGAGGGAATGAACAGAACAGGTCATTAAGTGATCCATCCCCTGTTGCCCATTCCCAGCTTCTAGCAAACAGAGGCTAGGGACACCATCCCTGTCCATCCTGGCTAATAGCTGTTGATTGAGCTATTCTTCCTGAAATTATCTAGTTCGTGGTTTTTTTTTTTTTAACCCTGTTATAGTCTTGGCCTTCACAAAATCCTCTGGCAAGGAGTTCCACAGGTTGACTCTGTGTGGGGAAAAAATACTTCCTTTGGTTTGTTTTAAACGTGCTGACTATTAATTTCATTTGGTGACCCCTAGTTCCTGTGTTATGAGAAGGAGTAAATAACACTTTCTTTCTTTCTTCCTCCACACCAGTCATGATTTTATAAACCTCTATCCTATCCCCCGCTCTCCCCCCTTAGTAGTCTCTTTTCCAAGCTGAAAAGTCCCAGTTTTATTAATGTCTCCTCATATGGTAGTCGTTCCATATCCCTAATAATTTTTGTTGCTCTTTTCTGAACCTTTTCCAATTCCAGTATATCTTGTTTTGAGATGGTACGACCATATCTGCATGCAGTATTCAAGGTGTGGGTGTACCATGGATATATATTGAGGCAATATGATATTTTCTGTCTTATCTATCCCTTTCTTAACAATTCCCAACATTCTGGTCACTTTCTTGACTGCCGCTGCACATTGAGTGGATGTTTTCAGAGAACTATCCACAGTGTCTGCCAACCTTGATCAACAGAGGTCTTAATACATTGAACAACTACCTCTTAGGAGACAGCCTGTAGTAGGAGTGCAGATTGCTAATACAGCCAGTTCCAAAGGTCTCCTGTTCCCTCTGGAAATCCATGATCTCTTCTTTCCAATGTCCATGGTTCCAGAAACAAGCCTTCCTTTACTGAATGTGTCGTAGGGCTAAGCAATGCAGTGTGGCCTGCTTTGGCCTACTCTCCATTCTGGAAACTGAGCTCCCGGCAAGTTGTTTTGCCTATGCAGCAGACTGGGCTTCATTGCAAATGCAGTGAGGTGGCGGGGAGAGGCACAGCAAAAAACAAGCAGTTGTACACCTTTTTAAACTGCTAAAACAAACAAGCACCTTCCCTCTCATCTTTCTGAGACCTGCCTTGTTCCCTGGGTCACTGTCACTATAGGACAGAATGTGGGTTGAAATTTCAATAACTACTGAGTGATCTTCTCTTGCCAAATTGGCCTAACCTCCCAGCTATAATAAACGTTAGTTGCTCCACTTGATGCTAATAATGCAGATCCCATTGATGGTAATTGGTGTCCTTTGTGCGTGCCAACTTTGCTGCAGTGGAGTTACTATTACTAGGCAACAAATAGATTTTCTGTGTTTCTAGGTTCTGGTTTTTGGTTTTTTTTTTTTTTTTAAGCAAACTTGTTTTGGCATTAGAAAGAGGCTACTGTATGCTATCAGACAAAAGGGCCACCAATCAAGGACATCTGGCTGAAGAACTGAACTCTTGACCACTATTACAGGAAACTGCAAATAGCTGATGACGTCCCAAAGCAACTATGCAGAAACAAACTAAAACAACAAAACAAAACTGGGGAAGCATTTGGAAACCTTGTCATGCAGAGTTAAAATGAGACTCTCTCAATGTATTTTCCCTCCCTGAAAATTCCAAACCAGTATGTTTTATAAACACTATCTTCAGATTTAAAGATCAGTGACCTGAACCATTTATATTTGAGTTTAATTTGACTTCACCGGAGGCAAGCTTCTTGGCAACAATTTGGCGTTGACTTTGCTAGAAAATTAGGCCGCTTAAGACGCTTATCTTGATACAGCGTTAACTAATGGCACCTTAAAGACAGATTTATTTGGGCATAAGCTTTTGTGGGTAAAAACCCACTTCTTCAGTTGCATCTGTGAAGAAAGTGGGTTAGTCTGTACCCACAAAAACAACAAGGAGTCTGGTGGCACCTTAAAGACTAACATGGCTACCCTCTGAAACTTGACATTAACTAATATGACTTTGCAGTCGGTTTAGACATGGACAACATGAGTTCAGTGTTTGTTCCAACCGCTCATGGCTAAACCTTTCCTGCAACCAGCAGACAAGTTGTTACAGTACCTGTGCACTGTCTATGCTGGTTGTGAAATCATGTTCTAATTCATATGATGCAGGTTGTAGCTTCCTAGGGAAGACAAGCTCCTTGTGCTGTATTTGAAGAGTTTGAAGAAAATAGGTACTGCTTAAAAGGATTGTCTTGAAGTTTTAGTAGAGATTTCTGTTCACTAAAGCCTTATACAACTTTCTAGTTTAGACTGTCTTGACTATACTGGGATAGTCATGGTAAAACCCAATAGTTCTGAGGTAATTACATTGGTCTAAAAGTGTTTTACATCAGTATACCTATTCCTGTAAGGAAAGATGCGTAAACTATACAAGGATAAGCACCTTTATACAGGCGTAACTACATCCACTCTAGAGGTTGTACTGGTGCAACTAGATAGGATTTTTAGCCAATCTCTAAGTTAATTCATTAGTTTTGTGTATATAGATTAGGCCTAAGGAGCAATCAGAGCCATTTCTGAATCCTCACCCTGTAAATATGTAATTAACAACAAAATAGCAATTGGGGAAAGATTTTAAATGATTGAGCCAAAAATAAGGCTGGAATTTTTTCAACAGACCATAAGGGAGATAAATGTCCAAATCTCACTGACATTCAATGGAATCTGGGTGCCTAACTCTCTTGGACTCCTGAGAATACCAGCCTATCTGCACAGATATATTTTAACTAAAGCAAAATACCTCCATTCTCAGCCTAGGTCAGTACAATGTTGTCTTGTAGCAAGCCACCTTTCTGTGTCAGTGGAATTTTAACTCCCTGGCCACCTGTGTAGCGTATTAGAGCTGATCCAAAAATAGGAAGTACGTTTTGCCAAGCAATTCTTATTTTCTCAATTGTTTCATGGAAAAACATTGAAATTTTTTCAGATTCTTCTTTTGGGGATTTCCCTCTTTCTTCCTCTTTTCGTTTTTGCTACTGAAAAATGGCCAGGGGCAAAAACTGGAGTTCTGACTCTTCAACACTGAGAATTTTCAGTTTTCATTTCTTCTCAGAAATAAAACTTCACCCCCCTCCCCAAAAGTGTGGGTTGTGTGGTTGGGTTTTTTTTTAAAGACTGCTGGTTTGGAATCAGAAATTCCATCAAGCTCTCTTGCCTGTGTATAGGCGCAGAAGGTAGAAGCAGGTATCAAATTTCCCATTGGGGTGAAACATACTATCTTATATTAGCTATGCAGAAATATTCCCCCTTATGGTAACCTCACTAGGGAAGTGGAAATAGCTGCATGCTTACCCTGTGTGAGCTTACTCCCTAAGCCTGGTGACTATGGAGATGCAAACAACTGTGAACAAGTAAAAACAAACTGAACAACCCACAAAACAAACCCCCCCAAAATAGCCAGAAAAACCAGATCTCAGTGTAATGCCGCTTAATATTTACCAACCCCACCCCCCATGTGTTAAACCTGAGCAGCTGTGATCAAAATAAATGCAATAGAATGTCAGAAAGCCATGGGAAGTGCAGAGGAGCCTCCATGTCTCCTACAGTGCTTGAGAACTGATGGGTTAAAAAAAACAAAACCCCAATAGTAAGGCCTTGCCAGGACATGCTTTGGCCATATCTCTGCTAGGACATCCCTAGTGCATTGTATTGGGGCTTGCTTAGGTTTGGGAGAAGACTGAAGGCTCCAGAGAGAGAGAGAGAGAGCTCAGAGGATGAGTGCATGCCAGTGCTGCCCATTTTGTAGAGCAGAATGGAGGAGGCAGCTTGTGGAGGTTTTAGCCCAACAAATGTTACTGACGCCTGGGTGGCAGGGGATCAGGTGTGGCTAAAACTAGTTCTTCGTTGCTAACTAGTCTGTCCCGAGTTAGAAGTGAGGACAAGAACAGTTGGTTGCCATTGGCTTCCCTGGGTGACTAATAGGAAGACCAACAATGTTCTGTTCTGTATGAGGTGGTCACTATAATGTACCCTTTCTATCAACTGCCATCTTAGGCCCTTCAGGCAGACTGATAAGGGAACTCTGGAGCTGCCACATTTGAACAGATTAATCTTTCTCCTAACCGTGGCTAAGATCAGATGCTTCAGAGGTTGCTATTCAGTAGATAGGAATCACCACTCGGGGTCAGATCAGGGTCCATTCAGTGCAGTATGTGGTCCCTGACAATGGCCAGCTCTGGCTGAATGAGACGAAGGTGCAAGAAACCCTTCAGTAGACAGCTATAGGATAACCTGCCCCTAGGGATAACTTCCTCCTAACAGTCAATAGCTAGAGGCTGGTTCATTACCTGAAGGTTTATATTGCTTTTGAGATTTTTTTTTCATTTACTGTGACTCTGGATAGTTTTGTAATCCCTATCAATGTCCAGGGTAATCTGTTCTGGTGAAAAATATCTAAGCCACATGAGAACCCCATGAAGGGTGTAATGTGTGATTTCTCATGATGTGCCTGAAAATGGAACTACTGACTCTCTCTTAGCTATAGTTGGGACAGTGGGGGTGGCTGTAGCTTGAAAATTTTTAGATTCAGGCCAGTGCTCCCCACTCAAATCCCTCAATATAGTTCTATATAAATGCTGCTATTTGTAGGAAATGTTTTAGGTCTGTGCAAGAAAAGATGCTTTTGAATCTCTCCGCAAAAAACCCCACGTTATTTTCTAGAAACTCTGTTTTAAGCCTCCTGGTCTCTTATTTTTTTTAAAAAAATTCCTGCTGTATTGGCCTATGTGGAATGGCCCAGAGTCACTAGTGGCTTTGGGTGCCCAATCTGAGACACCTTAAAGGGACCTGATTTTTTCAGAAACTGCTGATTTGCCCGCTCTCTGAAGCTCAGACCCCATTAAGGTATGTCAAGTTGGGTATCCCAAAAGATGAAGCAAACAATCCTAATCATTCTGAAAATCCCTGGCCAATGACTGCACTCAAAAGCAATTAAGAATGGAAAAACTCTGATCACTGCAAAACTAAAGGGTCTCTTCTCTCCCCCCACACTGCCCCTCCCACTCCTGCAACCTCAACTTTACCTTTAGGGAGATCAAATTAATTATAAAACCTAAAACTAATGAGATTCTGTTTTCTTGACTGAGTAAAGTGTGGTTTGAGAGCAGCATGAAACATACCACAACCTGTCACCCGTGTTCTATGTAAAGGGAATTCATCTCTGTCTAGTTCTGAGTGACCAGAAATTGAAGCTACTGCTGTGGGTTCCAACAAAGAACTCGGAGGCTTAGAAACTGAACCCTTCTTTCAGTCTGAAACTGGATCCTACAGCCTAGGAGGCGGACTATTAGTTGGGGCAGTGTGGAGCAACTTGCATTGCCACAACCTGTCCTGTTTCTGGGCTTGCATGGTTTGGGATTCACTTAAAAATAAAGCTAAAATTTCATTGATTTACTGAATGAAAAACAAGGTGCCTTTACAGTGGGGGGTTTCTACGGGTTGCTTCACTGCTTTTTGTGGGTCCCTTGTTTGGTTTTGTAGCCTGATCTCCAATTGGAATATTTTAAATGAAGCTGCATATAGATATAGAGCTGTTCTTAGATCTTCAAGCTACTCTGGAAGTGTGTGCATGCACTACAGATATATGTGCTACAGATATGTAGTGTACAGTCATAACCACCTAAAGCCCTCAGCATAAGGTTGCTGGCTGTGAAGGATTTTATTTATATTTTTCTCACGTTTGGCCTCCATACTGCAGGAAAATCTAGCTCTAAAAGGCACTTTCCTGCTCAGAACTCAGGCAGCGCCTTGGGGAGGCCCGCGAGAGAGCGGAGGGCTTGTTGCCGAGGTGGAATCCAGCTGGCTTCACTTGAGCTGCCAACCTGATGCAGTCCTGTTAAAATTCTTGGGCTCCTCAGGTGTCTTGTGGTGGAGCAGGCTTGACTCTAACATGGTGGTGATCTTCATCATTGGTTTGGAAGCTAGCTCCTTCAGTTTCCGGGCATCAAAACGTGGTCTGTGGAGAAGGGGCAAGCGGCACCGGAATGAGAATCCCTCCTCTTTCCTTATCCCTTTTTCTTCCTCTTGATGCTTTCTCCTCTTGAGGGTTGTCATCTGATATAAAATGGCATCCCACATTTTGGTGGCCCTTGATTTAATCAGCTTGTTGTCTTGGCTGGCATTACCTTGAGAGCATTCTGCTTTACTTCCTGCTTCCTCCTGTTCAGCCTTGGCTGGCTCAGTTTCTGGGAATTGGGGCCCCTCAGGTTCCACTGTCAAGTGCTTCTTGAGGAGAGACCATCCGCTAAGCTTGTCTGTAAGAGGTCTGGCCTTCTCCACAGATGGTGGTGGAGGCTCAGCTTTGGGGGAAGGACTGGGAATGGTGGCTGTTGGCTGTGGTGGAATGACCAGCTCTTCCTTTGCTTCTGTGGAGAAAGCCCTGGTATTGTCAGCTGGCACTGTGGCTTCTTGCTTCTGAGCTGTATGGGGAGTCACTGGCCTTAGGCTTTCGCTGTGTGGCTCAGGGAGTTCAGGAACCCACTCTGTTCTGGACCTTGCTGTGTCACTTCCTGGGGTTTCTGATCTACTGAATTGGGGGTCTGGCATCAGAGGACTGAGGAAAGCAGTCCCAACAGGCTCTCTGGGAGTTGAAGACTTAAGGGTTTTGTAGAGGGGCTCTGCTGTCATGGTGGGAAGCATGGGGTCCTTTGATTTGGGAGTAGCAGCTCCAGCCTCATCAGCATTGAGAGTGACTGGTGCTGGCCCTGCAGGTGGCTCTGAGTGGCTTTTGCCAGTATGGGCTGCTGAAGGCTGCCTGTCCTCACTGCTGAGGGCTATAGAGGACTGGTCTGGTAAGGGGGTCTTCGCTCTGGGTGCCTGTACACTGTGGACACACGCATGCACTTTAGTGACGTGGGTAACCTCCACCGGGGCTTCTATGACAGGTGAGATGGAAACGGGAGGGTCAGGGAAAACGAATACACAATGTGCCTGTGGAGAGGGCAGCTGGGTGGGCGTGTCTGGTTTTGTCATCCCTTTTGGTTGCCATGGGGACTGCCTATGCACAGGGGATGCTACTGGAGAGACGGAGAGCTTGAGGTGTTCAGAGATTCTCCTCTGCTCAGTTACTTTGAGTGTGAACGGCTTGGCCTTTGGGAAGGGAGATGAGACATGGTGGATGACTGGCTTGATGGAGAACCGGGGAGGGAGGCGGATGGTGATGCGCATTGATGTTTCTGGGGTCTTCAGAGGGGATAAGCGCTCGCTGTGCTCTAGGTCTGGGCTGGCCTCGCTCACTGGGGAGAGGTTGGACCGGAACGATTTCGCTTGCTGTGAGGCTAGTGGTGTATTCTTCTTTGCAACTTTCTTCAAGAGTCTCTGGAGCCTAAGATTGTCCTTACCAGGTTTCGGTCGTATGGCAGGGGGTGGAATCTGTGGATGGAGGGATTCTGGCTCGTAAGGTGGTGTTACCGTGATCAGCATTTTAATCCCCTGAAATGAAACACACAAAGCTTAGAGCTGACATCAGCAACTGATCTGCTTAACCCTGTGCGTGCTGCTGCACTGTTCGCGCATGCCATGGGGCCACAAAGATGGGTCTGCTGGCGGCAGACCCCAAACATCTGTCTGTAGAATTTCTGAGTGCTGTCCCAGAGGTGTCTGGTCTGTTTCAGAAGCAAGGCTTTACCTGGGAGAGGGAGGAACATTGTACTGGAGCTTTTACCCTCGCCCTCTCAATACAACCCGTGTCTAATCGATATTTCTCCACATCACTCGCACACAACAAAAGGGTATGAGTGACCACCAGTTTAGGGCTATGGGTCAGGATTTGAGATGTTAATAGACTGTTAGAAGCAGGGGTGCTGGAACAATTTTTATGGTGGGGCTGCTGAGAGCCATTGAACCAAACTGTAAACCCAGTGTATGATGGAAACCATTTCAAGCTGGGAGTGCAGTACCACTCCTTGTTCCAAGACCTATGGTTAGAAGCTTGCTAAGCATCTATCCTCACGATGCCTGATGCTAGCAAGTCCCTTGCATTTTAGTGTTTGAGGCAGCATTTTCCTTCCTACTCCCACAACCCTAGCAATAAAAATTAGCTCTAATTTGGCCTTTAGGTCAGATGGTATTGCTTGTTCCTTCAGCTCTGCATCAAACAAGACCCCTTGCTCTGAGCTGTCTGAAATCCCAGTCTGAGCTCTGCAGCTGGAACCATGTCTACAAAAATTGTTTTTGAGTTTCCCCCTAGAGTACACTCAGGCACCGCCGGAATCGGGTGACTGGACAGCAAATGTGAAAAATCTGGACTGGGGGGGGGCGGTGTAATGGGAGTCTATATAAGAGAGACACCCAAAAATCGGGACTGTCCCTATAAAATCGGGACATCTGGCCACCCTACCCCAGAGGCTGGCAAATCCCTAAGCTGTGTGAGCCTCCACTGTCCCAGCTCTTCCCATTCTCACCCTGGGCTGCAACTTCTGTGACCCTGTCTAGAAACCAAAGAAGTTTTTCATGACCGATTCTATAGCTTCTTTGTGTAGAGATTACCAGTAGAGGTAGCCGCATGATCTGAGCAAAGACTGGGAAGTCTATGCAGGGCAGTAGCGTAGCTAGGTGGGGAGTGGGGCAGCAGCTGCTTTCCCACTGAGCAGAAGTGGTACCTTTTTTAATTTTTACTCACCCCGCAGCATGGGTCAGGCAGCGCTCCAGGGCTTCAGCGGTGGGTCCTTCACTCGCTCCAGTCTTCGGCGGCATTTTGGTGGCGAGGGGGTCCTTCAGTGCTGCCGAAGACCAGAGCGAGAAGGACCCCCTCGCCACCAAAATGCCGCCGAAGACCGGAGCGAGTGAAGGACCCGCCGCCGAAGACCCGGAGCGCTGCCTGACCTGCCGCTGGGTGAGTACAAGCGGGTCACGCCTTGTTTAGCTCCACTCCCATTGCTGGGGTAGGGAGTGAGGGTGAGCACCTGGCTTATTCCATCCATCTCTCCCTGACAGACTTCAGCTCCCAAGTGTCACAGATTAAACTTTTTTCCTCCAGTTATTGCCAGCTTCACAGTTGCTGAGCTGGCTTGGCTAAGAAGTGAGGCACAAGTGAATGAATCTGTCAGCTCCCACTGCTGGATGGTGTCAAGTGTCCTGAAAGAAGGAATGAGCAGGAGGAGGCTGGGAGCGTTCATAGGGGCTGTCAGGTGCTCTGCACCTTTTTGGCAACTGCCAAGCTCATTCCAGCTTCTTTCTTGTTTTGTGGTAGGTAAAATTCTAGTTTTGGGCCATAGTTCTAACTCACCTGGTCCTGGCCTTTGAGGAAGGTAATGCAGTATGCTGCATCAGTGTTCTAGAGGTACAAGCCTTAGTTCACTTGTAAACTACTCTGAGCAAACCTTTTGATGGGTAGAACAGATGTTTCCACTTCAATGCACATGAGGCTTAAACAGCCTTTGGCTGCGTTTGCAATCTGTCTTTCAGCACTGGCTAACTACTCCTGCTGGGAGGCTGGCCTTTTGCTTGCTTGCTACAGAAATTCCTGGCAGGCGGAGTGGTGAAGAAAAGGGAGGGCTAAAGCAAACTGTAAAGTTACAGGTTTCAGAGTAACAGCCGTGTTAGTCTGTATTCGCAAAAAGAAAAGGAGTACTTGTGGCACCTTAGAGACTAACCAATTTATTTGACCATGAGCTTTCGTGAGCTACAGCTCACTTCATCGGATGCATACTGTGGAAAGCGTAGAAGATCTTTTTACACACACAAAGCATGAAAAAAATACCTCCCCCCCCACCCCACTCTCCTGCTGGTAATAGCTTATCTAAAGTGATCACTCTCCTTACAAACTTACAAGGAGAGTGATCACTTTAGATAAGCTATTACCAGTAGGAGGGTGGGGTGGGGGTGAGGTATTTTTTCATGCTTTGTGTGTGTAAAAAGATCTTCTACGCTTTCCACAGTATGCATCCGATGAAGTGAGCTGTAGCTCATGAAAGCTTATCCTCAAATTGGTTAGTCTCTAAGGTGCCACAAGTACTCCTTTTCTTTTTTCTAAAGTTAAAGGCTCTCTACTTCCCCACAGGTTCCAGTTGCCACCTTAATTCCAGCAAAATCTCAGCAGGAAATATTTTCACTGCACAGCTGGAGCTGTTCTCCAGGCTGTAAAGGGTGTGGTGGCTCGTCGGCATAGGCAAAAGGCAATTGCTTTGTGTGTGTGCCCACACACAAAAGCCACATAGCATTTTGTGAGGAAGCCTTGAAGGGGACTTGTGTATGTTAGATGGCAACTGCTGGAAATTTGAAGCAGCTGATCACTTTTAAGCAAAGGCTAGAATTAGGCATAGCTCTATTCCAAGAGCAGCTCTTATGTGTGAAACTCGTTTGACCAAAGAGGGCTAGAAATCCCTTCCCCATTGTTCTGTTTCACAGCATACACACACAACTTGAATAGAACAGATTCTCCTGCTGGAAGGTTGCACCAGAGCACTACTTTGTTAGAATTCAGAATGCAAAAGAACCCCAAAACTGAGATGGAGCTCCCTAAGGCAAAGAGGCACAACTTACCCCACCTTCCCGTAGACTGACTGGCTGCTGACTCTGCTGGAACACTTGGCTATGGAGCCCTGTAACCTGCAAGCAAGATCAGAGAAGCCTCCTCCCAGCTCCTAAAGTGATAGCTTGCAATTCCAACAGAGTCCTCATTAACACCAAACCTACCACCCATCCCCAGGGTTGGGCGTCTGAAAGACCTCAAAACACCTGACTTAGGCTTTGCACGAGTGTCGCTACATTGCTGTTGTTACATGAGCGTAAGCTCCTCCTTGAGCTGTGCTGCACCAGCGTAAAGTGGATTTGCTCTGGTGCAGTTGGCTCTGGTAACTTACCAGCGTAAAGTGGATTTGCTCTGGTGCAGTTGGCTCTGGTAACTTACTAGCGCAAGGTGCAGTAGCGTACGCCCAACTTCGCGTCAGAGACCTGCGTCTGGCTACAGCTACGCGATGAGCTAGGGATGTGATTTTTCCCTTGTTTGGGTTCGCTTAAATGGCAGCGTAGCAGCAGGAGCACTGGGTAGCAGCACTGGCTGAATAGTGCTGTGTACAAATCTGCCTGAAACTTGTGGGGATGGGCTCAGCACATCTGTGTCCTTGCTGCTGCAACCTATGCCACCATGGCTGAGCATAAATAGCAGCGCAATCTAGCTTGCTTGTAGGTGTATGTGAGCAGGGGAATCCTAAGACTATATAAGAGGTTTGCACCCCTTTTGTATCCACGTTGTTACACCACTGCAAATGGCTTTTATGCAGGCATGGCCTCCTAGGCACCCTTCATTAAACGAGAGAGAGAGATCTTCTTATAGGTAGCAGTAGACAGACCTCTCGCTAGCTAAAATCGTGCCTGCTGTGCTAAAAACAGAGGCATTTCTTGCTGTTTAGACTGACTTGGGGCTCTTATGTTTCCTGGTGCCAGTCACTGAATCTGAAGCTATATAGCTTTGTTTGAACACAAGTATCACCACTCTCCAAAAGGGAACCAAAATGCCCCTTTAGCTTTTAATGGCTTGCGATGTGGAGGGGGCTAGGTACCAGCCTTTGCTTTGCGTAGCTGTACAAAACAAACTGATCTAAGCAAAAGGAGGCAGGTGGAAACGCCTCTCCCTCCCAATAGCATGACACCTCATGGTAGAGTTGACGACTTTCCCTATGCCCCAACCCCCGAAAGTGACGTCTAGGCCATAGGAATTGCTACACCGGATGCGAACAGTGCCTCATCTAGTCCTGTATCTGTCTAATGCTTGCAGCTGTTTCAGAGGAAGATGCCAAGTTCCCCACAGCTGGGAGGTAATCAGTCCAGTGTGAAAATCTTACCCCCAATAGTTAGAAGCTGGCTTATTATATACTGAAGCATCTGGGTTCATCTCTTCCAATGCTCTTCTTTTTTTTTAAAAAAAAAGATCCTTGCTATTATAACTCTAAATATTCTTGTTCATCTATGTGAATGTCCAATTTTTTTTAATCCCACCAAATCCTTGGTCTCAGTGATGCCATGAGGCAATGGATTCCACAGATGGCTTCTGGCAGAGTGGGAGTGATACCTTTCATCGCTTTCAAATTTGCCGCCTTTCAGTTTCATAGTTTGGTTTTTGTTTTTGTTTTTTTTTTTTTGTCGGGGTGGGGTACAACATGTATTTGTCATGAGATCTACCTTCTGTGTCTCCCCCTCAGAGTTCTGCATGCTTTCTGGAGAGCTCTCTCCTGGAGCAATCTGTCCTCTCAGTAGGAATTCCTCCCCTCACCCCTCCCAGTGTTGTGTATTGGAACAATAGCAGAGCAAAGAAAGATGCATTTCTTTGCTTGGTCTTATTGACTGCAGTGGACATTTAAAAGGGATTCATTATAAAATTGAGGGGGAATGAACTTCTCTAAGAACCCAAATAGCTTGTGAAGCTTCAGGAAAAGCAAGTGAATTGAGAGTAAGAATCCCATGGGATTCTTAGTGTTAAGTATGTTCTTTATGCTGATGCACAACCTGAAACCTGCCTGGTCTTTGGATCCCTCTTATGCTACTCTACTGTGCTTAGAGAGACGCTTTAATCAGACTTAGTCTCTAGTTTGACCTTTAAACAGGGGAAGTGTCCATGTGGAAGAGTTATTAACTTCAAGATGGAGAAGTAATTTGGGATGCTGGAGTGATGGCACAGAATCAGCTGTTCTGTGTGGAAGAATGAGCTAAGGGAACTTGATACCTATGTTGCTGCAGCTGGTCGCCAAGGGAAAGAAAGCTTTGCTTTCGTATTTTTCTTGGGCTCAGAGGGGAAGACTGGGGCAGCATCACCTCTAGCATCTAAACAATGACTCCTAGGGACGAGCTGACTGCATTGAAACGCATCTCTCTCTCTGCCAGGGTATCATGACCTGTTCAGGACCCTTGCTGCTGTGTCCTTTCTCCTGCCTGTTGCCAATCGCCTCGTGTCACAGTAACAGAGCAGCAGAATCCAGAGGCCTTGAGAGTGATTTGATGTCTTCTCAGACATTCTAGGCTCCCATTCTGGGTTGCAAGCAGCTCCTATACACAGGCTGAGCCACGGTATAGAGTCTGTAAACCCAGGAGGAACACTCAAAAAATACGGGTGTGTGGGGGGGAGCATCTTGGGCTGACTATCTGTAGCCCAGATTATCACTCTCACTAAGTTTGTCCTTTGTTCTGTTTTTCTTTTACAGCGGAGCTTGGTCCTGACTAGATGCAACCCTGTACTCAACGCTGATGCTTCCTCTGCTATAAGGGAGATCACTGAAGGATGTCTTTCTCCCAGTCCCTGGCAGGCAACTTCTCTCTGCTCCAGAACAGCCTGGCTGTATCCTCGAGTGGGAGCATCACCCCACGCTGCTTTTGTGTGGATGAAAGGAACATAATCAGCTGGCTATTGTTCCTCCCTTTAACTTTCTAAATGACTCTTTGCTGTTTTGTATTTGGCTCCTCTGGGCCCTTTTGTTTCCATGCTGGAGATGGGAGGCCATTACTTCGGCCCTCTCTAATCTCTTGAACACATGAAAAGAAGAATCTGCCAACTTGCCTAATCAAGCAGGGGGTAGAAGGCATCTCAATAACCATTGAGAAACCTCCAGCTACTAACTCTTTCGGGGTAGGAGGGATAAAGCTGAACAGAAAGATTAATGGGTATGGTGGGAATGCTCAACAGATGAGGTTGGTGGACTGATTCTTAGAACCACCTCTACTCTGGCCTCCATAATCCAGTGGAATCACAACTGTACTGGCAACCTAGACCATGTCATAGGTATCAAAGAACCACCATGTTCTTCTGTGAGTGGGGAAAACTTACCACCTGTTTTTTTTTTTTCCATCTCTTCACCTGTGCCTCTTCTGCTGTGAACTTTAATACGAGGTGGGGAAAACCTATGACTGACCCTCTCCAGGCCAGGTTAGTCTATGCCAGCTGAATACAAGATTCTAATCCAGACTTTTCGAATTCTACAGCTGTTTCCATACTGAGGTGGTCCCTTCACCTGTCCATCACAGTGCCAATCTCTTCCAGACCCTACTGTCCCATGTGAACAGTGGCAGCCCAGACTTTGGGTTTGAGCCCATGCAGTAGCTCTTACCTTTTGGTCTCTGCTGATGAGTCTGAGGGTTCCTTTTCTATTTGCTGCATACTCAAACCCACTGAGATAATCTTTTTAACATGAGCCCCAGTGGAGCTGTGTCAAGTACTCCTGTCAAAGTGCATCAGCAAACTTTGTCCTGTGCTCCTGTGTGTGGACTGTGTTGGTGCAGCTCGGAAACCAGCCATTTTCACCACTTTTCGCCCATTGGCGCTGCCTAGGTAGAAGGGTGTTCTGGGGAGGTAGGGGCTGCTTGTAGGGGTGGGGAGAGCCCTTGAAGATTAGTAAACCTCAGACCTCCACGGTAACCCGACAGGATTTGGTTTGCTCCCAGTCCCTGCAGACTAACTCTCCCGGGTCAATCTGTAAACTCCTTCATGTCCTCTAGCCCACAGTCTTTGGCACATCCCTGATCTTCTCTCATTAAAAATGTTTCTGTTCTTCCCCCTGCAACTTGCTTCTGTTATCCTCAGATAGGAATCCCTGTCTTATGGGGCCTCTCTCATCCCTCAATTTGCTTACTGCTTTAATTGATTCTGTCCTGGATTTACTTTTGTGTGTGTGAGCATTTAATAAAATGTCTGAGGAAGATATTGTAACAGTTGTGGCTCTGAGGGTTTCACTAATGGTCAAAATGGTCCGGTTCATACAATAAAGTTGTTTCCAATGTCTCTGCCCGTCCGGCTACAGCAACATGTTGGGGGAAGCAAAATTTCCCAGCTTCTCTGAAATGAAGAGAGCAGGAGCCCAGCAGATACTAGAGGGTTTAGGAAAAGATCCTGCCACTTAAGTTTTCTGTGGTAGGAGAATTTCTGACTTTCACTGGTAGTGGGGAATCGGGTGAGTAAAATGATCAGATCCTACTTAGGGAGTGGATAAAAGATGGTGGCTGTAGCATAGAGAATTGCTTTCTTAAAAACTATACCTCTAGAAGGAGCAGAAAGCAAAGCCGGTTATCACAGTCCATAGAGATGGTCACGATCAGTTCTTTGGCTGAAATGCAAAAATTTTACACTGAATCTAATTTTGGAAAGTGTTGGGCACGCAGCTCTAAGTTAGTGAACCAGTGGCATCACTTCACAGGAAGCCAAAGCCGAACTGAAGGGACAGAATGAGGCTGATAAAGGTAAATGCCCTGGCTGTGGGTATTTGTCTTCAGATGGTTCTAAAGTTGCCAAACCAACTACAAAGGCCACTATGCCACAACTAATCAGCCTTAGCAGTCGTACTACCCTCTGCATGTACAGGCAGAAGCCATGCAGTGCTATCCTTGCCCATGCTATCCAATAATGGTTGGGGAAAGGCTAGTCTCCTATTCTATGGAGATACTGAAAACAGACAACATAATTGAAGTCTGAAACTAGAAGTCTTTCCAGCATTGTCTTAGCCAAAACTTTTTTTTAATCTGGAGAAGGCCTCTGCCCCAACACACCCTTATCCTTTTAATAAAGCTCAGAATTAAGATGCTGCTTTCATCAGAGCACTGAATTTATCTCTAGGAATCTCAAGCTGGCACCTTGCCCAACATTCAATTCTATTTTGGAGGGGTAGGGAAGAAGGGAGACCTCTTTTTATGTGCCAACACCCTGGCTTTCATAGCAAAACACTGAACAATATCTGTGTGACATGGGCTCTCTTTAGCGAGAGTTACTCTGTCTGGCATATTCACCTTCCCTCCCCCACACTTGGGCCCAGATTCACAAAGGTACTAACTCCCACTGGGATCATTGGAAGTTAGTGCCCAATTACGCCTGTGAATCTGGGCCGTGAAGTCTTGGGTCAAGTCACAACTGGTCTCAGTAGAAACAACGGTTATAGTCCAGGTGCTGACTTCAATGGAGGAATGAACAGATTTCGTAGCTGCTTCTGTAATCCCCACACCTTCTGGGGGTGGTGTTCTGTCCTACTTGTAACGCCAACAGACCGGAGTTGTCAGCAGGCATGATCAAACCAGGGACCTCTGGAGCTTAGTGCATCAGCCTCTACCGCATGAGCTAAAAGCCAAATGGCATTTAGCTCATGCAGTAGAGGCTCATGCACTAAGCTCCAGAGGCCCCAGGTTTGATCTTGCCAGCTGACGCCTGGGGTCTGTCAGCATTACAAGTGGGGCATTCTCTCTCAAGTGGTCTCAGTGCTACTAGATTGGACAGAACACCACACCCAGGAGGTGTGTGGGTTACGGCTTCCTCTAGAGCATTTCTGTCTCTAGTGATTGTGGGGGAGAGAGAAGACCCAGGAGAAATTGGGCCTGAATACTCTCCGGTTGCTTTCAGGAACTACCTGAAACTGGGAATTTTTTCCATACTTCATTTAACTTTCATACTCGCTAGAATTCCTTTCCCTGGGGCTGCAGTATGGACATGTAGCTAGCATTGGTAGTTGTGGAAGCCAGCTGCCAAGATCATTAAGTAGGCAAAGGACTTGAAGGCAGATGGGGCCTTTAATGTTCTATGAGATCCTGATGTGAAACTCAGCGAGGCCCAGGAAGCTGCCTAAGGCTGCCAGACCTGTTCAGTAGCGAGTGAATGGAAGCAGAGTGGGAGATGTGGTACTGTTAGCATCATAGCAAAGAATGCCCCGACACTTTCTGCACTCTCCTCCTCACATCTCATCCCTGCACACAGCACCCGTTCCCACAAAGAAAATCCTGACGAGAAGCAGGCCCATTGGGCACATTCTGTCTGGCTGTAATTTCAAGAGTGCTTGGATAGGGGCCAGAACAGCTCCTCTTCTGAGTTGTTGGCCCATTTTCACTGCTTTAGGTATAGAGTCTGCTACCCTTACTCATGTTGTCTAGTACCATAGGCGGTGACTGGTCCCCACTGATGTCTATTAGAGTAAGGGTGACTGAATGGGCCCTTCTGTCACATTTACCTCTGTTTCAGAAAATGAAACTGCTCCCCATCTATCTAGATGTTAATATAGCATCCGATGAAGTGGGCTGTAGCTCACGAAAGCTTATGCTCAAATAAATTGGTTAGTCGCTAAGGTGCCACAAGTCCTCCTTTTCTTTTTGCGAATATATCCTTTGTCACTGTAGCAGCTGAGACCCTCCCAGACATTAATGAATTTATCCTCTTGACCCCTGTGATATAGCAAAGTAGTATCCCCTTTTCATAAAGGGGGAACTGAGGCACAGATTAACCGATTTGCTTGAAGTCATGCAGGCAATCTGTGCCAGAACTGAGAGCTGAATTGAGATGGCTCGGGCCTTAGTCCAGCGCCTTAACTGCAAGACCGTCCTCCCTTCTCTTGTGTTGCTTTAACAATTCCAAGCAACATTCCCCTAGAATGCTGTCAGGCAAGGCCTGAATCAAACCCTAGGTTCTGAATGCCACACCTTGAATTTGAGCTGTCCAGATCTGAACTCTGGACTGAGCCAGTGGTTGTAATGAAAAGAATAGGGATCACTTCTTTTACTAAAACTAGTCCACTTCAGTGCCACTTTCTCGAAACAAATCGACGCACAACATCTGACACTTTTGGTGAGCAATGCTAAAATAACTAACACTGAAACATGTTTTAGTTTCAGCTTTCACAGCCGTGTATAAAATGACAGACTAAAAAGCTGATGAAAATAATTTGAGAAAATCCTCAAGTATTCACTATTTCCAGGGCTTGCTCTGTTTAAAGGTTGAAGGCTGGATTTGAACTAGCTTCTGTTTCTAGCTATAAAATAATTGTAGGTGCAGATTTGTGATTGCACTTATGCATGCCCTCAATTTACATAGTGAAGAGTCTGATTGAAAGCCCCTTGAAACGAACAGACTCCCACTGTCTTCAATGGGCTTTGGATCAGGCCATTAGTGAACAGCCAGAAACAGGGGAATTAGGTAGATTTCTAAGTTAAATTAATTGTGGTGGTTTTTATTTTCTTTTTAAATTGCACTTGTACCTTGTCCCCTCTGGAAATGGAAGCTGGTGTCTGAAAATTTGGTCTGAATGTCAGGTTTTCCTCCTTGGAAATATTAGTGGAACTCCCACAGATATTGAAATAGTACTGGACAAGTGTTTTGAACGCTCTCAGTGCAAGTATACTGACATATCATCCTCTTTTGTTGGGTCTAAGAATCGAAGTACCACTGGAATAAACTTTTTTCCCCTAGCTGTATAAAGAGTGGGCCTGACGTCGGCCAAAAATATATATAATAAAGAATTCATAGAATTTAAGGCTAGAAGAGACCACTGTCATCTAGTCTGACCACGTGGATTATATAGGGTCTAGAATTTCACCCAGCGAATCTTGCCTTGAGTTCACTAATGGTTGTATGAATAGTTGTGCGGTGTTTGAGCTAGAGCATATCTTTCAGGAAGACATCCAGTCTTTGTTTAAAAACTCCAACTGATGGAAGATTTGCAATGCTAAACAGTTTAAACTTTATTTTCTTTACATAACAGGGTAAAAGACAGAGGGAAAACTTGTCACTCCAATCCAGGTCTCTGGCATGCATGCATGAGTGGTTACAGATTACACAAGAATGAAAACAACTCTTCATCCCACAGTGTAATCAGATGTTTTATGAAGCTTGTAAAAACCTTGGGTAATTCTAGTTGATGTTCATCTTCTTAATGTTGCAGAACTCTGCACTGCCAGGTTTTGTCCAGAAGTAGCAGTAATGAAGTCTGTCTCTGTGTTATTTCTGGTTTTAATAAAACCAGCAACTATTAAGCGTCAAGTCCAAGATTTAAGAGAGTTATGGCATTGACTTCAATGGGAACCGGATTAGGCCCAGTTTGAATAAAGCATCCCTTGCAAGTTTCAAGTCTGATTTCTACACCAAAGAAGTTTGGATAAGCTTCAGACAAGTATGTGACCTTTCCATTCCAAACTGAAACATCAAGATTGCTGGAAGTTTGCCAGTCACTCAGCACTGGCTGGAATGTGAGAATACCCCTGAATGGCTATTCCACTGCTGATCCTTCAACTTTTGATCCTCATCTCTGGTTTACATAGGATGATGTTTTAGAAATTGGATCTAGCATTCTTCCTGTAGGTTGCTTGGAATTCATGCTTAACACTGGGTTGTAGTGATCAATTTGTAGATGCACAGATCCAGATCTTCAGCTGATATAAATCAGCATAGCTTCATTGAAGTAAATAGACCTATGCTGAGGATCTGGCTCATGGATTTTAAGGCTACAAAGATCTTATATGACTACCTGCATAACACAGGCCATAGAGTTTCACCCTGTGATTCCTGCATTGAATCAAATGACTTATGGTTGAACTTAAAGAGTACATCTTTTGGAAAGACATCCAGCTTTGATGTAAAGACGCCAAGTGTTAGAGAATTTACCACATCCAATGGTTAACTACCTTAATTATTAAAAATGTATGTCATCGTATTTCCATTTTGAATTTCAACTTGACTTCAATTTCCAGTTGGTGGATCTTGTAACACCTTTATCTGCTATATTAAAAAGCCCTCTAATATCAGAGATCTTCTCCCAGTGTGGGAACTCAGAGACTGTGATCAAATTTCTTTTTAATAGTGTCTTATATAAGATCGGAGATTCTGGGTCAGACCAGTGGTCCATCTAGCCTAGTGTCCTGTCTTCTGACAGTGTCCAATGCCTGGTTCTTCAGAGGGAATGAACA